CCTGTACTGTATTCAGTTATTTTTTTAGAAATAAGTTGTTTGGCTAAAATTCGTTTTTCTTGGTATGAATTCCACAAATATTCTGTATAAGCACTATTAGGGTTTATTTTGACATTTTGTCTATGAACACGAACAGCTTCCCTACGTTCTGTAATTGCACTTTTAATCTCATGATCAAACCAATGTTTGTGCTTTTTACTTATTTTTTTAGTACCAATGCCATTCTTAGCTGCAGCGTTAACAATATTTTTCCATGAATCCCATAACATGTCAACATCATTAAAAGTATCTACATCCCAGTTGGAAAAGCCCCTTTCTAGATTATTCTGGTAATTAATAAAATCTTGTGTTCTTTTAGTGTTCCATATATTATCATAGGAACAATGGCTAACATGGGTGTTTAAATTGGTATCTAATTCTAACAAAAGCGTATTGTGATCGCTTCCTAGTGTGCCTAGCTTCCTACCCTCATCAACAATAAACTTTATTGTATTATTCAAAATAATCTTAGAACAAAGCATGTAATCAATAGTGCTTTTTTGGTTACCCTTACACCATGTAACTAAACCTTCACATAGGTGAGAACAATTTAAAATATACATATTAGAATCATCTTTAAATTGAAGAAGTCGAGTACCATTGCTATTAATATGTGGGTCACCATTAGGAATTTCATGACCAAACCTACCATTAATGTCCCCCATTATAAGAATGGACGGGTCACAATCATTTGTATGATTTTCTAGGTGAATCACCTCTGAAAGTAATTGGTTAGTTAATTCATCTGCCTTTTCAACTCCATTGACTGGATAATAAACAACTGATAAGTACAAAGGTGCTGATTTTGAATTATTAATACATCGTTAAGCTGACACACGCCCTCTTTATTAGATATCCTAAAGAGCGCTTATTGGCTGCTTGGTATCTCTAAAGAGCGCTGATTAGCTGCGTGAGCTAGTCGTTCGCGATTCTCCATGGACGATAAATTGGCCAAAAACAGGTCGTGATTTTGCCAAGAACTTCATCGCGAATTTCGGCATACAAACATGCAAGGCTAAACTATTGCCTACCCAGTAAGGGTTTTACTAACAACTCGCGATATTACTGGAATTTATTTATTTATTCAACTGAACATACACTTCTGTTTCAGCGGCACACATAAATGTGGTGCGTTCAATGTATAAAAGAGAGAAAGAAAAACAACTAAAAACAAGTAATTGTAAAAAAAAAATGTTATACCCCGTTTGAAAATGGACAGTTCTAAATCGCCCAGTACTCTACTTGTTTACGCACATGGTTCTGGGCCCTGCTCTCTGCACCCAAGACTCGACCTCGAGATCGCTGCAGTTTTATTTGAAAGAGCACTCTGTAGTTCGATCAGTTAAATAATAAATCAAAACTAAAGTTGTTTTCTTTATCTAAATTTTACTAGTCAACCAAATATACATCTCTCGATTCGGAGGACCTACTTCAGTAGAACTTACAGTAAAGAAAATGCCACTGCTGCATAGTATACACAGTACGGGACATAGTAGAAAGTAGCCTCAGAAAATTGTGAGTAACCAGCCGTGCGCGAGGATAAAAAAAGATAGGCAGACTACATACCTAGGTCTAGATTTGACCAGAATTTAACGCCGACTTACCATGGCACTTAAAGTATATTTGAAGTATGTTTGTGATTTGTAATGCGAATGTAGGCTATCCCCCTTCACTTTTGCAAAGAAAACGTCAGCGCTATTTTTAGAGTCGCGACATAGTTCTATTTACAGAGCGGCGTACAAAGCGAATTCCATCGAATTCGGTTAGCTCATACCGCGCTCTGGAACCTCCAGGCACATTGTTATCATGTAATTTACAAATCTTCATATAAGCATAGAGAAAGTATAGCCACATGTACGTATAAGAAAACAATCGTTCAAACGATCAACAAGCATCCAAACGATTCACCGTCGTCCAGACGCGAGCCGTAATTCAAGCGTGTAGCAATTGAATATTCATATAGCGTGGTAATTAGAATGGTTGATTTCTCAGATGCGTTAGTGATAGGATGTTGACCTAGACGCGTTTCTGCCATCTGGGATAATTTGGAGATCGCGACTTATAGGCCCTACACAAATTTGTTTATAATCGGACGTTTTTACCTTCTTAAATACATATATTTTACTCACACAACTTCCATGATACTTGCTTAATACGTAATAATCATTCAATAAAATAATCCATCAGTCATGTTTAATTTTAAAGTTGAAAACAACGCAGAAAAACAAAATTTATTGTGAAGAACAAAGTGCACGGGCTTATGTAATTTGGTTTGCAATTCATGTTAATTTATGGCCATACCATTCCATAGAAGACATGTAGGCGAGGGTGATAAAGTAGACCTAATCATTTTTCTTTTTTTGAATTGGGCCTTAGTTTTACATTCCTGAATTCAGCTAAGTAAACTCATCAGCTAGTACTAGTAAAAGAGTAGCTAATAGATATCCAGACGATTGGACAATTTATGAAGTAGAGGCCAAGGCTTTTCTACTTCTAGTTACACCATCAAGGAAGAGTACGCAACCGGCGATTGGATAATTTTCATTGTCGGAGGCACAAAAGTATTTTTCTCAGGCCTGGCTGCACTATTTAGTGCTGTATTAAATGCTATGAAAAATATGCAGTGATAACCATTCAAGGCTGTCCAGCTGTATGTCTTCATTTTGTATCATACAATATTATTTGAATATTAAATACTGTATTACCAATTTGTTTACTTTTTTTACAGCTAGGTAGAGGAAAAGGAAGCTGCACACCATTACCGTCTATCAGAAATGATGACATATCGATGTCATGCTAATATCTTGAGTTTGAACAGCACCCTCGTCCCTATCAGTTTTTAATTATTGCAGTAATTCAAAAGTGTGCTCTATATCATCTTGGACTGGTTTAATTTGTGCTATTTTGTAGTTTAGTATTAAACTCACAGAAAATATACCTTGTGTAAAATGTAATGTGCTTTTCATTATATTATTGTTACTATATTTTATTTATTAAAAGAAAAAGTTTTATAGTTAAACTCTCCTTAAAAAAATAATAATAAAGATGTTGAAGGAAATAAGAAAATAACATTACACAATGTTTGCCTCATTTATTGAAACCGTGTATTAGTCTCCGCTTGCTTATTAAAAAAATAGCAAATAACAGAATAGTAGATTACACTTCTAAAGTAATCGCAGTTAAACACATAGTATCATCTTACATACATTACAACATTTCGCAGTGAATGATTTCACATTTAATTGCCTTCCAATCGACCTAACTTTGGTGAATGTTTGTGACGTTAATGCTATTATCCCTCTTGTTTTCATTTGCTGCTTTCTATTTCACATGAAAACATGTTCCCAAAAAACACTGATTACAAAGTTTGACTTAAATTTTCCCCGAAGTAAAGTGACTTGCCATTGAAATAACACGTAAATCTTGAATTTTACCCCATTAATTCCATTTTTGTAATTTTAGTATGAAGAAAGTTTAAATGCAAAAACCTAGGGGTACAGCGACTGTACCTCACTATAAGTACTTTTTAATAGAGGTGGTCTATAGAGGGTTAAATTGAAGTCATAGTTTCAGATCATTTCAAACACCGGATAAATAGATGACCTTATGCATACTGATCACATTTTAGAAAAAAATAAATAAAAAAAGTGCGGAAACCAAGTTGCCCCAATGTAGATTGTGTGGAATCCAAGGTGACCGCCAGCAGAGCCAAAAAAAGTGACATTTTAGCCAATTGTGACTGTTTTACCATGTTGTAATGCTTATGGTTGTTACTGTGTTATTGAAGTCGGGCTATTCATTTTTGAAAGTTTAGTGGCATTCCGTCATTTTGTTTTCTCCCAAATGGCTGTTTTATACCCAAATTGGATTTTTGTATTGGCCCATAAAGGTAATCTAAGCATAGCAAGCTCAAGAGTTTTGACTTTTTTATATCTTTATGTTTTGCCGCAGCAATCATTAACAATTTTATGGGATCCCTCCATTTGATTATTCAGGGATCAACAAACTTTTCACCCTACAATGTTTTCGGGAGCATTCCATGAAGTACTAAAATGAGCACCACGGTTAAAATAATTGAGATACAATGCTGAAGTTTCTTGAACAGGTCTCAGGTCACTTTTAAGATGTTCTTAATAGTAAATTATGTAGAAATAGGCCCCAAGAAGATGCAGGGAAAGTGCCCTTACATCCGAATTTAGGTATGAAATGGCAATTTTTGAGAAAATTTTAAGTGCCACAGTCCCTTCTGAAATGGATTCCTTGACATCAATAAAATAATGTAACAAACCATAACTATTACAAAACATGATAAAACGGTCACAATTGGCCAAAATATCACTTCTTTTGGCTCTACTGGCAGCCATCTTGGATTTCATACATTTTATTCCAGGGAACCCTGGTTTTTTCACTTAAAAATTTTTTTTTTTCAGAAATGGGATCAGTGTGGATATAGTATTCATTTTATTCGGTGTTTAAAATGATCTGAAACTATGACCCTCTATAATAGCACCACTATTTGTAATAATTTTTTTGTGTATATTCCATATTGCATAGTACACGTTGGTTCACAGTGTTGTGGGGACGATAATAAGTGCCCAGGCGGAATTTACTACAAAAGAGTTTGTAACACGATTTGTACCTGTCACCTTCTACATTCAATTGAGTGGGTACATGACTTGCAATTCATGGCATATGTTATACTATCTTACATGTGTCTTCTATCTGAATGGGCACTGGCTATTTAATGAACTACACATGAGGTCATAGTACAGCACACTGGACTGGCAATGGTCAATTCAAGTTCCTTATTGTTAAAAATAATGTTAAATTATAAGATACTCTGTCCAGTGGCCAAATTTTACCAAAGAAATTAAAAGATGAACTTGTGTGGTTGATTTACTTAGTTAACATTTTGTTATAATTGTTAGAACTCTGAGAATGACAGAAAACCAAACATAAACCTTCCATTGCTGGAGTCTCTGGAAACCCAGGTTAATGCGAACGAAGAAGTTACAACTAATGGTGATGATGATTTTGGAACAGACATTGATCCAAGTCAGGTAAACTAGTAATTATATCATAGGAGTTGATAGTGAAAAATGAATCTATCAGGGTATGGGTTAATAATGAAATTAAAAGAATGATATACACCACTAAATATAATTAAGCATTTCTCCAAGAGTTTCTTAATACAATTGCAATTTATTGGTAATTCAGAGGATTCAAATTGTGTCAATATTCATCAAATTTCCAAGTAATAGGTGGACTTTTAAATTTTTTCTTAGTCGAGATTGAGTCTAGTATAGTGTTACCCGATCCCTCTCTGTGCTAATGAAATGCACAAAACCTGCTGCTGCACACTACAGGGTGAATAAAAAACAAGTTGTACAAGGATTATTACTGCCCTTGACCTTCATGTGTGCAACCATAAAAATGTTGTTTGTTTTATATCTAATTTACTTCATCTTCTGAAATAATGATAGAAATTGACTTCAAAATATTTAAAATGTGACAAGTTTTGTAAGCTTACCCATTTTATCATCAGTCAATGGGCTTTACACACAGTAAAATTGGTTTTGTTAAAACATGCAATATCATCCTATCAATTGTCAAAATGTTCCGAAATATTTATTCTTTAAATCTGGGACAAGAAATTAATCTTCTAAAACCAAGGTGACAGATGATATGGCAAATCTGAAAACCAACATCACCTGTCACAGACCAAGGATGCAAAATCATCTTGTTGTTTAGGATAATGGTGCTACATGTAGGAGCTTAATCACTGAACTCTCATTCCATTTCATCATGCTAATGTACAGTGAAAGTAATTTCTTAACTGTTGGGAAAAAGAGGTCAGCTTACAAAACTTGTGTAGGAGCTTAATCATTAAACTCTCATTCAATTTCGTCATGCTGATCTCCTTTACAGTGTGCTTGAGACAGGAGTCTCAAGCAGATTGCGAAGGGGATTAACTACAATACGATCTATCCTTAAACATACTTTCCTGGTATGTGACAATGACATTGATCCACGTGGCACATCATGGCTATTTAAATAAAATCCTCATGTTTTTATCAAACAACAGGGAGCTGTTCTATTCCAACTTCTTGTGCCGGATGACAAGGTTACAGTTGTAAAATTAATACTCAAAAACGAGACCGATGGCACAGTTCAAGACTATCAAATGACACTGAAATATAACTGTTATCGTAGTATTACCGTTTTCAAAAATTCAGCTTGGAAATGGAAGTTCGCCACCACAAAACTCAATTTGCCCATTGATAAGGACTTTTCGTACCATTACGTCATAAGCACGTGGTGCAGACCGTTTTTTTCAGTTAAAGATGTTGAAATCATTGACAAAACCTACAGAAAGGTTTCCTCACCTTCAACAACCTACGATGTTTTCAAGAACGAAGACAGTTCTTTTCAGAAGGAAAAGTTGGCCCAAGGAACTGTGGTGTATGCAGATATGGAACTCGATAAAATCACTGAAGACACATTAAAAGAGTCGCTGATGGCAACAGAAAAAATGCAGTTTCCTGGATCTTGTCACAAAGAACATATAAGGGGTATTTTGAATTGGATCGAGGACACTGTCCATCCCCGTGGCTACAAATATTATTTGTTAACTGATTCAAAAATTAAGTACATGACTGTTTTACTTGCAAAAGTAATCCAGGTAAGCGGAGAGCTTGACAAACATGTCTTAAATGCTGAGTGCATTAGACTGATCATTCACAGAATGCAACAAGCAAAACTAGAAGAGTTTCCAACATCTGTAGGTAAGAATTTAGCACAATGCTGCACGTGGTTGGTGAATGCTGTTCAAGAGTCATGGATACACACATGGGTTTACTTTTACAAGCTGTTTGATGTGAAAACTCTCATGAACATGGAGACAAAGGCATCACTACAATGGACAAACAGGTCATGGGAAGTAGATAAGGGAATCTTACAACATGCTTTCGACACTCTGAAGGACCCCATGGTAATCAAAAAACTAGTCACTCGCTGTTTGGAGGAGATACAAGATACCCGTGTTTTGAAGAAGATACTTGTCTTATCCAGTGTATACATACCTGTAAAAGATGGGAATGAAGTAATGACATGTGCGGTGAACCAGCTAGACAGAATACTCAGAAGTAAAATGAAGACCAAGTTCAAACTCCTCTATGAAATCTGGCAAGATATGGCTTCTGCGAACTTGGAGGAATTGACACATATTGCAAAGACATATATAGTGATGTTCTTAAGAGATGAAACGTGGCCAACTAGGAACAAACAAGAAATAAAGAAGGCAATACTTAGTAGTCACCTGTATACTACATCCTATGACCTAAGAGACGTCATTCAAAACATGGTCAAGCAAACTGGTTTCCCAGATGTCTATGAAACCTTCATGGAAATTATACGACAGGGTGAAATACTAGCCTGTGCTAATGAGAAGGAAATACAGACACTATTTGAAATCTGTATCACGTCTTTTGCCCAGCAAAGTAAAACCAGAAGAAGTGTGATCAAAGTTCGGCTCATTTACAGAGTACTTGCTTTGACTACAACTTGCGATCACTTAAGCTCATACGAACATTTGAAAAAGAACATTGACTGTGTGGCATATGGAGTAGTCAATTACATTCCTCTCGACATTATGTTTAGTTCTCTGATTCCTAAAAAGGGTGCTGAATGTGATTGGCAGCCTGTGGAGGTGAAAATCATGGCTCAGCATATACGCAAGCGCCTTTGTGATGATAAGAAAAGCGCAGGAGAGAGTAAATGCCACGTAAAGGAGCTCAGAGGAAAGGACGGGATGATAAATGTCTTGTCAATTCCTATCCGTGATGTACTTCTTACCTTGTTGGACATCCAAGAACTACCTTTTTCTCTAGAAAACATGCCAACAGCAAGACCATCTGCAAAATTTGAAGCAGCGATCAAGCAGTTAGTGAGTGATGGAGAATTCTGGTTAATAGTTCTAACAGCGCTTGGACAGTATGGTGATGAGATACGCCAACATCAGAAATGTAAAGCTGTCATTGAATCACTATCCGCTTTCTCAGTTAGGGTGTTTGCAAAGAATATCACGGTCAAATTTGTGAGACAATGTCTATTCAAAAACAAGGACACGTTAATTGAGCTTATGAAGATCACCCCATCCAAACACACAACAGACTGCAAATCATTGAAACAACAGTTCAAGCATATCTCTCATGCCAATATCCTATTGTGTAAACGCCTTGATAATCTCTGTCACCTTTTAAAGTGTGTAGAGCACCTTGCGTTTGCAATTCAAGTTACTGATGACAAAGACGTGGCTAAACGTCTTCAGGAGTTACAAAGAGAAAACACAGCAGGGTCAGTGACGTTAAAAGAAACGTCAGAAGAGGCATGGTGGGGTCATTTATTTCCTTTAGTCCCATATGCAGATGCCGTGCAGATTTATGTCAATTCCATGGCATTTCTCAACATTTGTCGCTCAATCTTAGAAGGAACATGCTCAGATGTTTGTTTGCCATCATTACCAACAGTGGGTGACAATGAGGAAGATGAAGACGACGACGATAGTGAGGATAAAGTAAATGATACGTTGCATCCAGTTGCTCGTACCATGATGAGTGTTTGGAATCAACATGAAGCTGTCGATACACTGACGTTGGCAAGTCTGTTGAAAGAAGTCTGCATACCAACGTTTCAAAAACATTTCCACATTTTACTTTCAGCCAATCTGGATGTTTCCACACAGGTGGTTCAGAGCATGATGGAAGGAGTGACCGACCAAGAGAGACTTAATACTGAGCTTACCGAAATCAGAAAAATATTTGGCAAGCCAGTTCCACGTAAAATGGTCCAAGCCCTTACGAACTTTGTTGAGTTGCCAGACCTAATTCAAAGATCTTGCCAATTAAAGTCAATGTTTGGGACCTTCGGTGTGGACGATGATGATGAAGATGATATACAAAGTGCAATAAAACAGTTGGCAAGTCTCCAAGCAAAGGAAAATTTAACTTTGCAACAGTTGCAAGATGCCCTTCAGACAGTGTCGGGAATTGAAAAGGACTTTACCTCCGATGATTGGGATATTATCGAACAGCTGGCAAGCTCACAGGAACTTATAGATTTCTTGAGCCCGCTGGTTGATGAAGACTTACGTAATCTCATCGATGCTGTAGAAGAACGATCAGAACAGCACGTCGATGAGTCAACTGTATCAAACCTGATTGATGTGAAGCGTTATTTGGAAGCTCTTCTTAAAGTACATCCTCCTCAGCAAGGAAAGAAACTCATAGAAGCTATAAAGGAAAACCGGCAATTGGCCATCAAAGTCAAAGGACTTCCAACTAAAATTGACTCTTGTGTGAATAACGTCCATGGTCTACGCGACCTGTACAATAATGTTGCCAATCGTGGGGAGATGACAAAGGAGATCATTTACAATGCTCTTCAGCAAGGTGTTTACCAATTCAGATTAAATGAAGAGAGTGGAAGTTGCAGCGTAGTGCTTTCCTACAAGAGAGGGAATACTGATCAGATATCGCAGGTCTCATACGGTTTGAATCAGTTGAATGATCTGCGCAGTAGAGCATTACTTATTGTCAATACACGAAAAAACATCGTTGAAGCAACAGCTGAGGAACAGTCACCAGATCATACAAGACTACCAGTTCCCAATTTTGAAGAATTTGTAAGCTGCGTGAACATGGCAAATGATATCAAAGATCTTTGCAATTGGCTTCATGGATCTGGTCATTTTAGCTTCCGCCATTTTGAAGAGACGGTTCACAGTAAGCATGAACTAGAAAACCTAAAAACTCATCTCAAATCAAAATTTAAACAGTGGCAAGCTGTTCTAAAAGAGGCAAGGGAGCGATACTACTTTTTGAACTTCTTTCATTCTAAGCAACTTCTGCAACTTGACCAGTTTTTCCAAGGTTATTGCTTGTTCTCAGAAGATCTAACCTTGCTCCTTCGCTTTGTAGACACTGATATTACTTTTGATGACAACTTAACAGATGCTTACCATACCCCGCCAGATAACAAGGACTTAAAAGCGCGACTTTTCCATCTTGGAATGGCTTTGGAGAAAATTTTTAGTCAGAGGCTATCACCTGGTCGACACATACCAGGAAAAAAACATCAACTCACCAAGTCAACTTTGGATACAAAAGTTCGAAAAGGAAATGTTTTTGTTGCAGAACTGGAAGAAGACAGCACAAAAACAATACCAGTTCTTCTCAGATTATATAGCAATACGACCGGTGTATTGCCAGAACCAAGTCATGTTATATTTTGCCATCATGGAACATCATGGGAAGAGATAGCTCTTTTTCTGCAACGTAGTACTGGGGCAAGTATTCATTTCAAAACTAACAAACTATTCGTGTTAGCTAATGTAGAGCTCCTTCCAACTGAAACACAATTTCAGCTCGTTACTGAAGTCAAACGAATCCAAGAACATGATCATGAGTTCTTACTTGCTATTATTTGCCGGGGAGGAAGCTACCATCACATCATTGATCAGTTTTCTCCAAACTTTACTCACTGCTTGCATGGCTTCACTGATGCGGAAATGAGCTCATGTTTATGCACGGGTTGGCCCGAAGTTGAGGTTGTGACGTCTTCGCAACCTGGTCTAGGTAAAACGGAATACATCAGAGACTTAGCTTTTCAAAAGAATTTAGGAGTACGCAGCATGCCTGTAAGTGGGCCAATTGCCAAAGAGGTCCTTGTTGAGCAATTGAAAGCACAAGCTGGGATGCCCAAAGAAGTATTACATATAGATGTTTCAACAGTGTCTGACCCACAACTTCTAGATACGTTCCTGTTTGAAGTTGTTGTCCTGGGAATGGCTGTATCAGGAACACACATATGTTTGACCCCAACGAAGGGAATAGTGATGGAAGTTGCCAACACTCAAAAAGACAAGCTCCGCAATTCCTTGACTATTTGCAGTTCTTTCTCCAGGACCCATCTGGAATGGAGAGGCTTCAACCACTTTATTACGAGTAAGGAAGTCAATAGTCCACTTCAAGTTGTCTGCCATTATTTAAAGGCGTTGCAGAGTAGTACTCTTGACAATGTTGACATAGTTCTGACAGGTCCCAATCATGTCAGTCCTATACCGCCTGCGGAGTGCCGTCAACTTCTCGAAAATTGCCTTGGATCAAACCCAGATCTGTCATATACCATAGTCAACAGTTTTCTGGAGATATTTGCTCAAGAGTTGCGTCGAATGTCTGCTTCATTGTACTTCACGACAGGTAATCTGAAAGCCATGTTGGGAAATGGTAGTAACGACGTTAGAAGCAAGTTCGTCCAAGCTCTCCTCGAAGTTTCTAAAGATTTTACTGCTCGATCAGTGAAAAACTTGTCTTCAGAGAGTCAAGTCAATAAGAGCTCAGCGGCAGCCGCCTTGGTGGATTTCAGGGGTAGCACCAATGTTTCAGCATTTCAAATGGTAGCTAGAATGCAGGGAATGGTAAAATGGGCTGATAGTAACCATTTACTAGTTGTATTCCATCGGCAAGACTCGCAAACAATTTCGACGCTGTATCGTGTCCTGAGCAAAGTCCCGTCAAATATCAGCAAGTTGTTCGAAACTCAAATGAAACGCAAGCTCCCGGACTACAATAACATGTCGCAAACCAAATTACATACCATTCTAGAGAAAGTATGTAGGAGCACGCGTGTTCCATTCAAGAAAGAAAAGTTACAAGCTCTAAGACAGAACTACGCTTTGACACCAGACAATCTACTGAAGATGATATTGGTTCACATGCGCATCAAGGCACATATTCCTGTTATCATCATGGGTGAAACTGGATGTGGAAAGACCACTTTGATTACCTACCTCGCAAGAATTTGTGAAGTTGCATTCGAAATCCTTAATCTGCATGCGGGAATCTCAGAGGAAAACATCATCGATTTTGTCAGTAGCCTGCAAGCACAAGCCAACAAGAATCTAAAGCAGGAGGTATGGGGATTTTTAGATGAAATCAACACTTGTGACCATCTTGGGCTTCTGAATGAGATCATCTGCCACCATTCCTTGAAAGGCCAACCCTTGTCTAACAATCTGATCTTCATCGCTGCATGTAATCCATACACCCTTAGAGAAAGCACAGTCATATCAGCTGGGCTGGAGAGTAAGCATCGACGAGACGAAATGTCAAAGCTTGTGTACCGTGTTCATCCACTGCCAGAGACGATGATGGATTTTGTGTGGGATTATGGATCCCTTGATAAGAAGGATGAAGAAGCATACATCTGCCGTATGCTAGAGGCTAAGGATAACACGTTCGTAGAGCTGGTTGTCATGTCTCAGGACTTTATGAGAGAGGTGGAGCAAACCACATACTGTGTCAGCCTACGGGATGTCAATCGTTGCCAGCACCTTGCCAATTGGTTTACTGAGATGTTGAAAAAAAAGAAAGTTGCCAATGTGAAAGGCGATTACATCTATATCAACAAAGTAGATACAAGAAGCATGATACTTGCCTTAGCTCACTGCTATCATTCACGATTGACGAAAGCTGAAGACAGAAAAACATATCGTAAGAATATTGCTGCCATACTGGGAAAAGCTAAACCCACATGGAATGTCACAGAAACCGACATTGAATGTATGATTCGAGCTGAGCAACTGAATATTCTGGAGAGAATGCAACTTCCCGATGGAATAGCCAAGAATGAAGCACTCCGTGAAAATGTTTTTGTTATGCTGGTGTCAATTATGAACAGAATACCCGTTTTCGTAGTCGGAAAACCTGGATGTAGCAAGTCTTTGTCTATGCAACTTATACGGAGTAACCTCAGAGGTGCCGACTCGAAGGACTACTACTTCAAATCACTCCCACCTGTTTATGTGGTGTCATACCAAGGATCAGAATCTTCGACGTCAGAAGGAATCATCAAGGTCTTCGATAAAGCCAAGAATTACAAAAAACACAATCCAGATGTTATGCCTGTTGTGCTTTTAGACGAAATAGGTCTTGCTGAAGTTTCAAGTTTCAATCCGTTAAAAGTGTTGCATAGCCAATTGGAACCTACTGTGGGAGGATTTCCACCAGTAGCAGTGGTTGGAATTTCCAACTGGGCTCTGGATGCAGCCAAAATGAACCGAGCAATTCATCTGTCCAGACCAGAGCCAACTATCGATGACTTGGAAAACACAGCTAAGTCTATCCGTGATGACAGTGCCAAGAAGAAGAGCAGATCAATCGTACATCACACTGTCAGTGAGGATAAACTTCGCAAACTTGCTGAAGCCTACAGTGACTATCAAGTAGATCAAATGTACACAAATTTCCATGGTCTTCGGGACTACTACTCCCTTGTGAAATACATTGCCATTCAATCATCGGAACAACTACATGGAGACCCCGGGTCAATTATAGAGCAAGGGATACTTCGCAACTTTGGAGGACTTAAACACGAGATGTCTCATATCATAAACAACTTCATGGAAAAGATTAACATACTCCAGCAGCATTCTTTACAACCAGGAACCATGGATTTGATTAAGGAAAATATGGATGATGCGCACGCACGTCATTTAATGCTCATCACTAGTGGGGATTCGGCTCTCAACATCTTGGAACAAACACTGAAGGACCGAGATCATGTTACGATATTTGGCAGCAGATTTGAAAATGACATATCAGAAGAATACAGCTACACAACACTAAGTGAAATTATACTATGTATGGAACGTGGAGTGACCCTGGTGCTGAGAGATCTGGAAAACATCTATGGAAGCCTGTATGATATGCTAAACCAGAATTACACCATCGTAGGTAAGAAGAGAAACTGCAGAGTCGCCTTGGGCCCTTACAGCAATCCAATGTGCCATGTTCATAGAAACTTCAGATGCATAGTGTTGGTTGATGAACAGAAGGTTGATTACCAGAATCCACCATTCCTCAACCGTTTTGAAAAGCAGACACTGCGTTTCAATGATATCCTTACGGACCACCAAGTGGAAACAATAGGATGTATTCTTAGTTGGATGAATGATATTTGTTATGTAGAAGGTTTTCAATTTTCGCAAGAGAGCATGTTCCTGGGTCTACATAATGATACTCTACCATCTTTAGTGTATCTGCGAAGCAAAGACAGTGACCTTGTTGATATTAAACCACCTGAGTTGGCTAGACTGTGTCAAAAAGATTTAATGAGGGTGGCTTGCCCTGATGCAGTATTACGAGCGTCCAAATCAAGGTTGGCAGAGAAAGATCGTAATGAAGTGGAAGCATTCCAAAGATCATATTTTGAACTTCCAATGCAAAATGGTCTGAGGGAATTCTTTGAGAACCGTATGCTTAGTCCACATGGGTTAAAACAGCAGCTTTCAGATCAAGAACGTGTTGATGTCTCCATATCATGCAGGTGTACACGTACTGTCATATACACACACAGTAGTATACATGCTGATGTCAGAGAGTCTCTGAATGATCTTGTGACGGTACAGGTGGAGAAGTTGAGCAAGTTCAAGTCTGAAAGGCAGTTTGCTGCACAAATGCACCACTTCTGGCATGAGGCAGATGAAGAGCTTCTTGTCCTGCAGTGCATCACTTCTCATGATGCTGCACACATGTTGTTGGCAAAGAACAGGATTGACCAGTATAGAAGCGAATATCTGAATGTTATTGAAGCAGATCATGAATCGTCTGTCTTGAAACATGCCTGCATCATTGTGCACATAGATCGAGGAGAGAAGGAAGATGTTGAAATGTTCCCCTGGCAGTTCAATTTCCTTTGTGGTTGGGAGCAGTTCACTCTAGATACACTGGAGCCTACCAAGCCACCCCTTGACGATCTCCTGCAGGGTTCAGTGTCCGAAATGCTAGCTGGGCTTGTAGACTTAGATTCAATTATACAAGAGCAGCTGCTGTGGTCATTCAGTTGCATGAAATACGAGAATCAATCTCGTGACGTTAACAGTGCAATGAAGTTAGCAGCTGATGTTGCTAAATCTCACGACGTTGTAAGTTGCTTGAAGATGCAAATCTTAGAATATATCAAGAAGTTGGAAAAGAAATATGAAAATCCATCTTTAGGGTCGTATACCGGTTGGCAAGTCGATGTAGCATCAAATCCTGACCTTCTATATAGATGCTCTACCCTTGGTGGAGCCATTTTAGAATACATCAAGCAATGTGTGAAGGAGCCCTTGGCAAGAAGTATCATTCTTCTTGAGCGATCAAGTGCATGGACGGGAAGTCCTCTTTCTACAGACATGCCAGAGGATACAGTAGAATTTTGGCAAACATGTATCTATGACCAAGCTATATTTGACATAACTGCAAAAGACATTCCAGAACCACGTGGCCCAGAATCTTGCTTGGTGGATTGCAGATTTCTAGAACTCAAATACCCTTTCTTCAGAATTTTCCACGAGAAGATAGAGAGTAACAAAGACTGGCTCCTGCACGAAAGTCATACACCCTCCAGCAGTGACCATGACGAACGAATGGAGTGTCTTATTGAACAGCTTGCAGCCATTGTTGCTCAGATGCCGGAACTTCATCATGAGGAATACTTCACAAATCATATAGAAGATTACATACATGACCTCTACAACACCGTATCTTCTGAATTTGCTCCTAATATGCCATGTCACATGAGAGTTGAGCTGATGAAGTGGCTTCTAACTCAAGTTACACTTAATGTAGAAACACGCGCTGATGTGAAATACAAAGTTGCCCGTGAATATGTGGCTATTTGGCTGCATATGAAGCTTCTGGCTGCTGAAATTCAGCTTATGTCCATATATAAAGACGTTACAGGCAGGGATCCTAAGGGTTTGCTGGAAGATATACAGCGAATGTTAGATGGTGTTGCTGCACCTACACCTGACAAAACAGGTGACAATGGTGATGATACAGAAGATGATGCTCCACACAATGCCAATGTTAAAGATAGTGATGAAGATGTAGAAATCCATGAGGGTGAGTCAATTGTAACTAACAATGAAGCAGCTGAGGTAGAAGATGTTGATGTCACAATCCACCCAAATACCTCTGCCGAACCTAGAGAAGACAGTGCAGTCAGTGACACTAGTAATGATAGCGAAACTGCAGGTGGAGCTGAAGATACAAAAGTAATTCAGGGTGGTACATCACTGGAATCAATTGAAAGAAAAATATCCAAAGACGAACCATCAGAACAAATTAACGAGTCTGGCTATAGTTTGATCAGTCCAAGTGATGAACCGGCAGAAACATTGCTAGTGACAAAGATTTGCAAAGACATATTGCCTACCAAGCAAGTTCTTCAAGGTAGTGGTGGAGTATGTGGCTGGCAGCGTAATGCCAACTGTGTTTTGCTCCTAGCTGGGCAAGTTAGTGCTGACTCGGCCGTTCTGCACTTCCTCCGTCTTTGTCGCGATTTTGTTGTAATGTTGTCTGACAACTTCAACATTACTGGAGATTACCTTGTACAGTTGGGTGCTCTGGCGAGGCATGTAGAAGATCCTCTTGCAAGTGAGGAAGTTTTTGAGTTTATCATAGAGACTGTAGAAGCACTGCGTACAGAAACAGAAGTAGAATCTCATTTCTCAACTTTAGATAACTTTCTCTCTTCATACTTCGGCCTTTGTTTAGAAGCAGATTTAGACACTCCTCTTCTCCCACAAATTATAGATACCTTGTGTGGAACATCGGGGAAGCTAATTTTGGGATCAAGACCAGTTCTGATGGACATCATACGAAGTGACATTGATGCAGAACCAGACCAAGACTCGGACATTATGGTTGAAGCTCGTACACATGGCTCTGTTTGCGAGCAATTGATTTTATCAGGGGAACTTGACGAAGAGCAGTTTCCAAACTTGGCCTCAATTGATCAAATTTTAACAGGACAGCAAGTAGATAGTAGCCTATCTACGGTGTGTTGTGACATAATTCAAGACGTAGCGTTTAAACACGTTACATGTGATTACATCGCCAATGTGCAGTCTGATACTGACACTATTTGGGAGATTGCGTCCCATGCAGTTCGGATCATAGAGGACAAAAATGAAGAACATAGCTCTCTCAAATTTGCAGCAGCAGCAGCTTTCATACGTGCTTTCATAAAGGCAGCAGCAGAGTTGATTCATGTATCAGATGTTAATTCCTTTAAAGCTGGAGACAAGTATTTTGTGATTGCGAATATGCTGAATGGATTGTTCAAGTTAGAGGAAAATGGACGATGTGAGAGTGGACACTCTCTACCACAAATGTATCTTTTGAAGTGCTTACGTGAAGCCCAACCGCTCTGTGATCTCAGGAAATTATGCAGCCTACTTGCTGATCCAATTACGAACCTGAACAAAATTGAATGGCAAGAAAATCTGTTCACAACACGGCTTGGATACTCGCCATTAACCTATGTTGATCACTACAGTGACGCCCTTGCTGCTATTGCTGAGTGGCAAACCCATCAGAATAAGACAAAAATGGAAGAATTCTTAGCTTCTGCGCAAGCAAATCCATCACATCGTTTAGCCTTCCTTGCAGCAGTTGCAAATACTTTCTACTTCATTCAGACCACACAAGGATTGAAAGATGTGGACAAACAACAGGCACTTTCTTTATTTGAATCTACGAAGGGTTTTAGTAATGTTTACAGACAGTTTCTGGAAAGACTTCTTGGACTCGCTGACTTTACTGGCATACTTCATCTGTCAGAATCATCTCCTCAAGAAGATATAGAAATTGCTTCAGTTGTGGTACATTTAAACGCCATCATTCTGTCGTATGCTGACAACAAAGGCAACAGTACAGCATTTATGACATTTCTAGATCAGAGTACTCCTATCAGTAAAATGGCTCTTCTTGTATCGGAGAAACCATGCACCGTCTTTAAGACACCGCATGCTGAGAAACCAAAATGCTATGACTGTCAATGTGGATTGAAGATGGTTGGCAATACTGCATCAGATTTACCACCCAAATGCCTTGTGTGTGATAGAACACGTAAGCGTAACGAGAGTGTTAGTGAGGTTGAATTACATAGGGAAAACATTCACAACTATATCCCGGAATGGCTTCCGGCTATCAAATCTACAGAAAGTGTTCGTGGATTGTCTCCAGTTGCATATCAAACAATTAATATACTTGTACATTCGTGCTTTTTAGCTGGAATTTGCAGTACAATCACCACAGAAAAACAGATTGTATTATTGTCCAATATCCTAAAGATGTTGATGTTGTCACCGGAGGCTGGTGATGAAGTACAAGGAGCAGCTGCAGCTTCTAAAAAATTGACTCAAGACGGCAGTAAAGAAGGTGGTCAAGATATTACACCAACTGCACAAGATGTATCGGAATATATAGCCACACGCCTGAAGGAGAACTGGTATTTGATTCGAGATGCCATTCAATTGAACTTTGAAAGTGTGTCCATCTTTCTTCATCGTGTCATACGTGCTTGCAAACAGGAGATAGTTTCACATCCCTATCCCAAATGTTTGAAAGACAAGGAAGCACTTGAGGATGCTCTCTCCAATATCATCATCTTTGAAGTTAAAGATATTCCAGGATGTCTTTTGCAACAGAAGCGCGATTGTTTGGAAGCTGAAGGCGTAGACATCAACTGTCTTGAATCAAAATTGGAAGAGTTAGATGACGTCCAAGCCATCTCATATGAAGCTGAAAATCCAGACAAGGATGCTGATGAAACGAACAATATAACAAACATCCATGTACGCTGTCTTCTCCGAAGAAGACAGGAAGCTTCACTTCATAATTTCAGGTCCCAATTCGCTAATATGTGCCAAAGTAGTGAGAATAAGTATCCATTTTTGCAGTTGTGTCTTTCCAAGCTAGAAATCATTAAATATGTGCGGTACCTTCCTGATTTTCTGAAGTGGAATTCGGTAGTGATAGGACGACTTAATCACGTGATCAAAAGAGATGAAGCAAAACGGATGAAAGTTGGTGATTTCTTATCCAATGACCGCTTCCATCCGAATGAAACGGCAAAGAAGACAGCTACTAATGCTTTCACTGCATTCCAAAAGGCATGGAATCAAGTCCGTGATGGGTGGAGTAAACTTACTGGCGCAAGTCCAGATTTCGACAACATGACCTTCTCAAGTAACATCACAGAGTGCGTAGTTGACAAGAAGGATCCAAACTGCGACATGCGACAAATGATAAGGATCTTACTGGATGTACAGAATGCATTTTTGATGGATGCATTGGCTATAGCGATATATGGCCGTTGCCCAGCTCTGCTATTTCTCATCAAAGATGAAGGTGTTGCTGGAATTCAAACAATGCCTCTGTATAGAGCAGGGCCATCAATCATCGAGTTTGAATGGTCGAATAAGCTACTGGTATTTCATGATATAGGGACAGAGTACGGCCATGGAAGCGTTATCAGATACAAGTACACCGTCATTGAAAGGGAACTTGCACGCATTCTAGTGCTGAACAAAGCGTATCTCGTAGAAGGTTCAGCACTGACACAGTTTGCCTACTCTGACGAGTTGTTCCATGCTTGCTCCGTTATTCTGTCTGCGATTGGTAGTACAATCTTTCAACGCAAGCTTCCAAAGGAACTAATCAACTCCATCATGAGAGAACAAGACCATCGGCAGACATTCGCTAAAGATATGCTAGATCACCTTGAGGTAATTCTTGTTCTGTTGAAGAAGACTGGAGGCGATCCAGGGAGTTCACTCCATGAATACATTAAACGGTGGCAAACACTGCTTCCTGAATCATTCCCAGATAATCTTCTTCCAGAACCAAGAGATGGCGTGAAGCTGCAGCATGTTGTGCACCTCTACGAAATCTTGGAAGATCTTCTTGTAGATGCTGTTGTGGAGTCATTACGTGATGATTTCAGAAGTGATATTCCTGAACGTTCAGCAGATCATCTAGGACAGAAACTAAAACCATTGACAGGAGACCAGCTTGAAGAATCTGCTGCTACATTACGTCGATTCATTTTCCGGTTTCTTCGTTCTGGCACCAAGACAGACACCAACTCAAACCTAAAAGACTTGATAGTGCGATCTGCACAAGAGACAATGGACTGCACCGTTTTTACAGATTTGTTGCATTATGAACTGGAAGTCAAACATGTTGTGAAGATCTTGGAGTTTATTGACAAGCAGATAGAGGTAAGTTTTGATAGCCCAAACGAGAGCATGTTAAGTATAGAGAAATCAATATGAAACAAAATGTGATTGGTTCTGTTATTATATTCTTGTGGCCATTATAGCGTGCTATAAGTTATTAATCAAACATTTCAGTACCCAATTTGGAGAAGGAGCAGATTCTTTTCGAATACGTTAATCATATACCTTCAAACACATCATAATTTTGTACAAAAATCGAATGTGGTTGAAGCTATGTTTGTGTCTGTTGGAAATACCTTTATATACCATGTATATTAGCCTATTATTACACAGTACTGATTTATTATATTTTGGGTGTACTTTCTACGGTTTATACTGGATTTGAAATACAATTATTTGATTCAGTGTTTCTGCCACAAGCAATGTAAGATTAAGGTATTCCACGAATGATTTCTGATACAGTAATTTCACAATCAAATATGCTAATGTTGTTAAACCAAAATTAAGTTCTCTGCGAAAACTTAAGTTGTACGATAGTTTGTGTGTGTTCCGGCCTGTTTAGCTATATGAACATTCAATACATTTTACCATAACTATTTCTCTTTGTTGTACATGGATTGAACCCAACATTGCATGGGATGTATCACGACACAAAGGAAATAGCTATACGGTCCAGATAGCTGTACTGTCTGCAACACATGCGCGTGTTATGGAGCATTTAGCTATCTGGACCAGCGGACAGCAGAGTCCCTTGTTCTGTTGTACTACCCTATAAGCTGACATATTGGATTTTGTTGCAAATCACCTTGTTACGATAATGGAAAATTGTGTGCTTCTCATAAAGGAAAATAATATCTGATACACCAATACACTTAGTCACACCCAAACACTCCATTGGGCTGTTTGATTTTTATTGGTACCAATTCATCGTGCCATGGGGATGTAGAAATGCTGTGTGTATCATAGAACGAACGAATCTGACGGGGATCGATTTTGTATGAAACAATTGGTACCCCATCTAACAAGGCCTAGCGGAAAATCTATCAGGCACAAATGCACAATTCTTTTACTTAATGTATTTACCAATCCCAGTCTATAATACATCCATATCTATTTTCCTTTGTGATACGCGGATTAAAAAAACTCAACGTTGCGTGGGATGTATCCCGCTTAAGTCCGTGTAACACAAAGGAAATAGCTAAACAGTCCAGATAGCTGTACGGCATGCAACACACGTACGTTTGTTTCGAATTCATACTTTTACAATTGTTTGCAACTGTTTTCATTATGGATGTTTGGAACTGTTGGGATTATTTTCATTTGCTTATACAGTAGTAATTAAATATAAAATTCTAAATAGAGAATCAAGATTGTTTTATATTATTTTCTAGCAACGGAAAGATGCCTACCGCAAGAAGGATATCCAACAAAGCCGACCCAGAGTTAGTGCAAGAGGTGCTGCATCTACTGGAGGGAAAACAAGGCCGAAACGACGCGGTGGCATGGGAGGTGTTTCTTAGAATCCAATTGCGTTCACGTTCAAGTCAATCACTAAATAGCAACAACACTTATAATGTACAGTGAGAAACAAATGTTATATGAGATATAGAAAACCAACAAAGCGATGCCTCCTTTACAAAAATATTATAAAAATTACAGAATATTTAACATACTGTATAATTCTGTATTAGCCAGTGAAACTTACTGAGAAGATAATTTAAACAGATAAAAATTTCGTGAATTATATCAAAGATGAAACGTATAAGGACATACAGACAAACATGGAGTAGCTGATAATGCATTGCCTAAAAAAAGCCAAGAATATGAGGCGAGAAGAAAAAATCAGCTACAGAATTCAAATTATGTATGTATACTATGATGATAATTTGTTTCTATGAACAATGTACACACCCACACACACACACACCCACACACACCCATGCACACACACACACACACACACACACATATATATATATCCAAGTAAATTAAAGTTGTTGCATAGCCAAAATTATATATAAAATGAAGTCAAACAAAGTTCTGTATCTGTCTCAAAGTAAAATTGTTATTGTACTTTTCACCATATAGGTCATCATTGGCACCTATTTTTTCCACACTCGCAGATTCATCCTCTTTAACGTTTAAAAATGTATTTATATATATCTACAGCATTGCGCAAGACGATTTAGAGTTAATCTTCATCATATCTATTATCATACTAGCATACTCGATGAAGGTATCCACTTAAAATATCAATGTATCAGTTATATCAATGTCTTGCAGTACTTTGATATGTCAATCATAAGTATATGGAAGTAGATAATTATTGTAATATTTTTATAATTACATTAGTGTTTTAAAAATTAAAAAATGAATCAATGAAAGATTTTAGTCCTACTCTCTAAATGCAAGAGTGAAAGAGTGCCTACAGTAATAATCCTGATATTCACTATATTTTGAGTGAATTTTTCACTATCTTAAGAATATTATTTACTGATTTAGGGGTAAATGTTCATTCAGATTGTTGTTAATTCGTTTACTATCAAGTCATTTTAATAAATGTTTCTTCAATATTTGTTTTAATTTTGTGTATTCTGGTTGTTTGCTCAATTGTTTTCTCAAATGTTCTCATCTAATGTTACTATTTGCATATAGCCACTTCTAATATTAAACTAGAATCTACATCCAGAGTAATAATAGTAATAACAAAAATATAATTTATAAAATATTGAAAACATAAATTGTATGAAAAAGAATAGTAAAGCACTATTTCAAGTCAATAATTTAATATTGAAAAATATGATTCTATATATAACACATTAAGCAATGGATTGTTTGTACACAACAAAATGAATTAAACATACCCCAGTGATAGATTTTCTTATTTATGTTCTATGTTTATTTTGAAAATCATCGACAACTTGCACTTGTGGGATTTTCTACTCTTACAATAAAATATTTTTGTTTTCTTATAAACTAATATAAAATATGGATACAAAAAATGGCACCTATAAAAAAATGTTTTTGGGTAGAAAATAATATTTATATAGGCCTAAATACACTATGCTACTTTACAAAGTACTGTATAGTACCATCTGAGGAAGATGAGGGTGTATATGAAGGCATCGTGACTAGAAGAATTTGATGAAGCAATACGAAAAATTAAGTTAAATAAAGCTCCAGAATGTGACGGTCTGGCCATAGAGTTTTTTTTACTTATTTTTGAAAAGAAATTAAAGAAATTGTTTGTAATGCAATTAATGAGGGTTATTTTAAAAATTAAATGAGCCTTACACGGAAACGGGATGTAATAAATTTATTATACAAAAAGGTGGATAAACAATTATTAGAAAATTGGCGTCCTATCACAACACGGATTATAAGATTTTAACACAAATTTTATGTTCAAGACATCATAAAGTAATTGAAAGTGTTATTAACAATTACCAAAAAGGATACATTAAAGGGCGCTTTGCTGGGGGAAAATATTCTACTAATTAATGATGTTCTTCAATATACGGCTGAAAAGGAAATGGAAGGTGCTATTCTATTCCTTGATTCGACTCTGTGAGAATTTATAATTAAGGTATTAGAAAAATTTAATTTTTGGACTCTTTCCATAAATGGGTTAATACAGTTTACAATAAGACAGAGTGTGTCATTGTTAATAATGGATTCGTATCTGAATGTAAATGAGAAG